AGTACCATCCCATTTACAAAACTAATTTGACACAGCATGAGAGCCACCGACTTTCCACTTGCTCCAGAGATGGAATAAGAACCACGAAACTAAAAAACTAAAGTCAGTCTGGTTAACACCAATTTGCTTTTCCACAAGGGTGGACCTGAAATTTCAAGAATTTGAGACTAGGTATGTTCGCAACAAATCGAGAATTTTCATGGAACTCTTTCGGAATTTTCACTAGGACAGTTGAAAGTTTTGTTAGAAGATGATAAAAAAAGACCAACTGGTGAATTTCAAGGGGAATTCCAACAAGGTCTTAGAATTCCATCAAATTTAGTTGAATTTCAAAACACTGTTACATTTCCACTTTAAAGTCCTCGTGAACTCAAACTTTATAACTTTAAATAAGGTTTCTACCATCTTCTAGTTAAACTGTTTGTATATTTCCAAATAGATTACACAAAATTTCTTGATTTTTTTCCAAACATAGCCTTACAAAAATGTAACTGATAAAATGGTTCAACACAAATAGCTCTCATCATGTCTCTCAACATTCAGTTAATTCAAATCACAGATACAAACTCCTCGCTCTGTTTTTTTAATTATATTTCCAGCTTGCAGAAAAATTAGCTGATCTTAACGCCAATTCATGCATTACTATGAAACAAAACACATAAACATGAACTTCCAGAACTCACCTCCTGCTCTATGGCCATACCAATATGCACAGCAGCTTGAACAACCTGCACACATCCATCTTCATGGCCAGCCATGACCAACCCCATCATCTTGTGCATAACGATAACTGCCATCTTTTCCGGAGGCAATAGGTCAATATGCGGCGCATAGGCTGCCTTAAGCTTTTTGCTCTTTAACTTCTGCAACTTCTGCTCCCTCGCTATCGCCTCTCTCAAAGGCTCAAACCACCCCAAGAACAGTCCCTTCACGTGAGGCAGATTCGGAGCCAGCTTCTTCTCGCGCATTTCTCTCTCCATTTCTCTATATTCCTCCACCGTCTTCTCCCACGCCTCAGTCTCTTCCTTAATCTGCCTCCTCCTGAGCCAATTATTCTTCTTCCTCTTGATCTCTTTCTGTTCAATCTTCACTTTCCTATTGGCTATTCTGTACAGACCTTTCACAAACAGAGAAGAAATCCATGGCGACCCTTGGATGAACAACCTACGCCGCGATTCCTCGAAAGAGAGCCGGTTCCCGTTCGTGGATAGATAAAAATTGGCCTCGTTTTCCAAGATCTCAACGAGATTATCTTGAATCGAGCGTGTTTCGCTCACTGGTAGAAGGAAATTACCGGGGTTTTCGAGGCTTTCAATGAAATTATCATGTGAGGAGTCTTGTAAAGGGTGGAGGTGAACTGGATTTGATGGAGATTTGACATTGACGGGGAAGGGAGAAGAATAGGATGAAGAGAGTAAAGAGAGTGAAGAGAGAGGTGTCACTGGTGATAAGTTGAAGAAGTGAAAGGTCCTGTGGCGGTGACGGACTTTCGATAAACTGTGAGGTTTCGGCCATGTTGTGGCGGGTTTTGAGTACTGGACCTGAGCTCTGTGTCTCAGAGAGAGGGAAGCCGTCGAAGGTGTTGAAGCCATTTTTGTTTTTTCAGGTGAAGATAAGGGTGTCTGTGGAGAAATGGCGACCAGGGAGGGAGGAGAAAGGAAAACCCCCCGTTAAACCCCCTTGTTTGACTATAAATTTTAGATTTGTTCAGTTCGTATTTCAGATTACTGGGAAAAAACCAAAAAAAAAAAAAAAGGGAAATTTTTTAACCATCAAAATAAAAATTCTTATTTTTAAAAATATCTTCTAAACGGTCACTATGACTTAAAAAAAAGTGGCCTTATACGGGCCTTAGATGGGCCTCATATGGGCCTAATAAGGATCTTGTATGGACCTTCGATGGGCCTTATTATTGACATTAGAAAGGCCTTAAAATGGGCCTGAGATTAGCCTTAAAATTTACCTTGTATGGGTCTATGCGGGCCTAAAAATGGGCCTTAGATGGGCCTCAAAATTTGCCATATATGGGACTCAAATTGGCCCGTAAATCGGGGCTTAAATGGGCCTAATATTAACATTAAAATATACATTGTACGGGCCTTATATGGGCCTTTTATGCGGGCCTAAAAATGGGCCTTGTAGGGGATTATAAAGGCTTTAGATGGGCCTTATATGGCCTTATGCAAGCCTAAAATGGGTCTTATATGGGCCTCATATGGGCTTTTATGGCTTTAAAATGGGCCTCGTATGCCTTATCTGGGCCTGAAAATGACCTATATGGGCCTCATATTGCCTTAAGCAAACATGAAAATAGCCTTAGATGGGCCTTATATGGCCTTATGCAAGCCTAAAATGGGCCTCATATGGGCTTTTTATGGCCTTTAAATGGGCCTCGTATGCCTTATCTGGGCCTGAAAATGGGCCTTAGAGGGCCTCAATAGGGCTTTAAATGACCTATATGCCCTTAAGCGGACCTGAAAATGGGCCTCACATTGCCTTATACGGGCCTGAAAATGAGCCTTAAATGGGCCTTGTTAGGGCTTTAAATGGGTCTTAGATGGCCTTATCCAGACCTGAAAATGAGCCTTAGATGGCCTTATAAGGGCTTTAGATGGGCCTCATAGGTCCTTGGATGGCCTTATACGGGCCTGAAAATGAGCCTTAAATGGGCCTTGTTAGGGCTTTAAATGGGTCTTAAAATGGGTCTTAGATGGCCTTATCCAGACCTGAAAATGAGCCTTAGATGGCCTTATAAGGGCTTTAGATGGGCCTCATAGGTCCTTGGATGGCCTTATGCTGGCCTAAAAATGGACCTTAGATGTGTCTTATACGGGCCTAAGATGACCTCATGCGGTCGTCAAATGGGCCTTAAAATAGACCTCGCTGTGGGCCTTTCTTAATGGTATCTTTGCTGTCTTTAATTCTCTTAGTTCAGTTTTGGACTCACCTTTTAAGACACCTGACCTTAGCCCACACACATATATATATACACACACATATATATATATATATATGTTTTCTTTCACTAATAAACTCTATTTTATTGTAATTTTTTAAATTTAAATTACATAACAAAGTCAACCAACAAGTCTCGTATACACACATCCACACAAGAAAGCTGTGTCTCAAATTCCAAGTATATCACGAAATCAAAAAAGTCGTATCACAGGATAATTTTTTTTAATCCAATTGTCAATTGAACATTTCAATTTGGTAATTAGTTAAAGTGAACACGAACTGTTAATTGATTTCGAAGATCCAGCCAACGTTACATAATTATATGATATAATAAACTCACGCACACACACATATATATATAATAATAATAATAATATTTTTTGAGTCTCGAAGGAGTCAAAAGACAATATAAAACAAAAATTTTGTAATATTTTTATTTTCTATTTTCATTTGGGTCAACGGAACTAAACATATATATATATATATATATATATGCATGTATATAGCTAAACTTTTAAATTCTAAAGGCCTCCATTTTTATATTATAAGGTATAAATAAGGAAGCCCATAATTTCACACTGTTCATGGCTGCAACAATAACGTAACATATTATATACATGGTTTTATATTTTTTTATTAAATTACTGTTTAAGTAATTTACCATTTTACCCTTCTGAGATCCAGTTCCTCCATAATGTGTAACAGTCAAAATTTTACAGAGAGGAAAAAAAATAAATAAATAAATAAAAACCGAGAAGGCGGCTGCCACGTCAGCTGACGTAAACGTGCTGTATTAACCAAACATATCTCTTTAAGAAAATAACAGCGCATCAATGCACTGATCTGATTGACACAAACAAACACGTAAGCATACGACTTTTTTTTAAAAAAAAAATAATAAACAACTTCGTATAATAAAACACGTGGATTAATGTTAGGCACAGTGCTGACATGTATACACCACTATAGTAACATGTAACGCTGTCGTTTCTGCCGAACGCTGTGCGTGTACACGTGTAAGCTTTTGATTGGCGCCTGTTGTTAGTCAAAGATCACAGGCGCCAAAAGCTCTTCGCCCTTCAACGGCGGTTCGGCAGGTTACAAATACACACCGCCCTTCCTTTCGGGCTTTAGTTTAATTTCTCGTGCTTGATTTTTCTTAATTAATTAAGTAATTAACAACTTAATTAATTACTTAATTAATTAATAAGAATGTTAATCCTCGTATTGGATGTTCGATTTGTCAGAGAGCTTTGGCGGCCTTTATATATGTCGCGGTATTGATGTTAGTACTGTTCAGTCTTGACTTACATGTAACTTCATGTCTTTGCTTATTATTTCCTTTACTATTCCTTCTTTTCTATTTTTTTTTTTTTTTAGAATTATAGAGCAAAAAAGAGTTGCCCAAATGGGATTTAGTAAGTTTTCCATGTTCACTATTCTGTTCTTGATCATCATTTTCGCTCTTGTTTCTGCTGAAGATGATCAGAATGTTCGACTCGCCCAGGAACGAGTCTCGTTGCTTTCCTTCGTGGCAGCCATTGTTGCAGACCCTGAAGGTGCACTTCGGACCTGGAACTCAACTAGAGTCCACGTCTGCAACTGGATGGGAGTCAAGTGCAACAATGGCAGAGATAGAGTTGTGGAGATTGATCTCAGTGGAAGATCTCTTCACGGCTCCATCTCTCCATCTCTTGCCAACCTTTCTTCATTAACAGTTCTTGATCTGTCAAGGAACTTCTTCCAAGGTCGTATTCCAGCAGAGATAAGCTCGCTTGTTGAGCTCAAGCAACTGAGTCTATCATGGAATTTACTCCAAGGAGATATTCCTGTCCACTTGGGTCTTCATCAAAAACTGGTTTATCTTGATCTAGGGAGCAACCGGCTTGTGGGGAATATTCCTCCGCCATTGTTGTGCAATGGGTCGTCTTCTTCTCTTGAGTACATAGACCTCTCTAACAATTCTCTCAGTGGGGAAATCCCATTGAAAAATGGCTGCGAGCTGAAAGAGTTGAGGTTTCTTCTTCTCTGGTCCAACAGGCTCATTGGCAGAGTTCCTCCAGCACTTTCAAACTCCTCCAACCTTGAATGGCTTGATTTGGAGTCCAACATGTTGAGTGGAGAATTGCCATCTCATATTATAAGTAAAATGCCACAGCTACAGTTCCTTTACTTGTCCTACAATGACTTTGTTAGCCATGATGGGAACACTAACCTTGAACCTTTTTTTTCTGCTTTAGTAAATTCCTCAAACCTTCAAGAACTAGAATTGGCAGGAAACAACCTTGGTGGGGAGATACCTTCTATTATTGGTAATCTTTCTAACAATCTTGTACAGATTCATCTAGACCAGAACCTTATCTACGGCTCAATTCCTGCTCAAATATCCAACCTTATCAATCTCACCCTCTTGAACCTGTCTAGTAACCTTTTGAATGGAACAATCCCACCGGAGCTTTGTCAGATGAGTAAACTAGAAAGGGTTTATTTGTCAAACAATTCTCTTTCTGGTGAGATCCCTTCTGCCCTCGGTGATCTTCCTCATCTGGGTCTTTTAGATTTGTCTGAAAACAAACTTTCTGGCTCTATTCCAGATAGTTTTGCGAACCTATCCCAGTTAAGGAGGCTTTTGCTTTATGGGAACCAGCTATCAGGAACTATACCACCAAGTCTAGGAAACTGCATCAATCTTGAGATTCTAGACCTGTCGAACAACAAAATCTCTGGAATTATCCCTAGTGAAGTAGCAGGTCTGAGGAGCTTGAAACTCTATCTGAATTTGTCTAGCAATCATTTAACTGGGCCTTTACCGTTAGAGCTGAGCAAAATGGATATGGTGCTTGCCATTGATCTGTCTTCAAACAATTTGTCTGGTACAATCCCATCACAGCTTGGAAGCTGTATTGCAGTAGAGTACCTCAATGTCTCTGGCAATTTCTTAGAAGGTCCTCTTCCAGCTTCAATAGGACAGTTGCCTTATCTTAAAGAACTTGATGTAGCTTCAAACAGATTGACTGGGGAAATACCAGCAACTTTGCAGGCATCATCGACTCTAATGCAGCTAAACTTTTCCTTCAACATGTTCTCTGGCAACATATCCAGTAAAGGGGCATTTTTGTCTCTGACAATAGACTCTTTCTTGGGCAACAAAGGCCTTTGTGGATCCATAAAAGGCATGCCTGCCTGCAAGAAAAAACATGCCTATCGATCTGTTATCTTGCCCATCCTCCTGTCACTGTTTGGAACTCCTGTTTTGTGCATATGCGGGTACCCTATAGTACGCAGGTCACGATTCAGAAGGCAGATGGTGATACTAAATGATGAAGGACTGGAAGATGAGGAAAAAGAAAGAAATGATCCCAAGTACCCGAGAATCTCATATGGACAGCTAATTCAAGCCACAGGAGGTTTCAGCGCTTCAAACTTGATTGGTTCAGGTCAGTTTGGGCATGTATACAAGGGAACTCTCTGCGACAACACAAGAATAGCCGTGAAGGTATTGGATTCAAAGGCAGCTGTAGAATTTTCAGGGAGCTTTAAGAGAGAATGCCAAGTCCTGAAGAGAACCAGGCACAGAAACTTAATCAGGATTATTACAATTTGCAGCAGGCCAGATTTTAAGGCCCTCGTCCTCCCTTTGATGTCAAATGGGAGCCTGGAGAGGCATCTATATCCAGCTCAAGGGACAAGCCATGGATTGGATTTGGTTCAATTAGTAAACATATGCAGTGATGTAGCTGAAGGGGTGGCATACTTACACCACCATTCCCCTGTCAAAGTTGTTCATTGTGATCTGAAACCGAGCAACATCCTCCTAGACAAGGACATGACAGCTCTAGTGACAGACTTTGGGATTGCTAGGTTGGTGAAAGGCATTGATGAGAACATCCCCACCAATGATTCAATGTCCTATAGTTCAACTCATGGCTTGCTCTGTGGATCTATTGGCTATATAGCACCAGGTATATATCCATTAATTTCTGATACTAAGTTTAAACCTATTTGATCTTTAACTTCCATTAATCTCACTTTTTTAATTTCCTTGTTGACTTGATCAGAATATGGAATGGGAAAACGAGCTTCGACTCAGGGAGACGTGTATAGTTTTGGAGTACTTTTGTTAGAGATTGTGACATCCAAACGCCCAACAGATGTCCTCGTTCATGAAGGTTCAAGCTTACATGAACTGGTAAAAAGCTATTACCCATATAAGCTCGAAGCCATAGTTGAGCAAGCACTGAGCAGGCACCGACCACCTACCATGCCAGCTTGTTATGACAAAATATGGAGAGATGTCATCATGGAATTGATTGAACTTGGTTTAATGTGCACACAGTTTTCTCCTGCGACAAGGCCAAGCATGCTGGATGTAGCTCATGAAATGGGAAGGTTAAAGCAGTATCTCTCAAATCCTTCATCACTATTGCTCAAAGAATCTTCATCTATGACCGACACTTTTTCATCATAAAATGACAATAGAAGCTAATTCATTAAGTTCCAGAAGTTTTAGTGCCAACTGATATTTGATCATTGTATTCATGTTTTGTTTCTTCTTTCTCCGAGTAAAGTTATTCAATAAATAATTTCAATCTTTCAATGAGATATGGTGGAATGTAGGATTTGGATTTGAGTTATCAATTTTACAATAACAGCAGCATACCATCTGAAGTAGATGCTTTAATATTTTGCTCAAATTTAACGATGGAAATTATTCTTTCTAATTCTAGTCAACAGTTACTATACTCTTGTAAGTAATACAAATAGAGATAACCTCTGAAGTTTCTTCAACATGTCTACATAAGTTGCGAGCTGAAGTTACCTTAATAGAAAATTTTTACATATTCTTTCGGACAAACAGAAAAATCTTTCATTTTCACTTAATTAATTCAAACTTCAAGTTTGGGATTTAGAATTTAGAACTTATGCAATATAAACCCAAAAATTGGGAAGATAAGTTGATGAGAGGAACAGGTCAAATAGATTAGGCATATAAATATCTTTTCACCGTCCAAAGCTTTTTCGTCGAGTAAATAATTTCCTTCTACTTCATACATTTTAAAAATCAGAACCCAACCAAAAAAGCCTTTGTTTTTAATAGTATTCAATAGATTAGTGGGATAAGTAATGAAGGCAAGATACAATGATCTAATTTCTTAGTGTTTATCTCAATGTAATTTTATAACCTAAAATATCTGAGCAGTGTATTTAAGGTAAGGAGTACAGAGGGATTTCCATAATCTACAATACACTGATCAAGTCCTCTTTAAGCCTACCATTCAAACAGAGAAATGGTTAAAATAAGGAGCTAGTGGAAGCTGATTACAGCAATCTCTCTTCATTTCAGTACAATAATAATTATCTATATATATACATGTCTGAATACACAGCAATTAAATTAGTTAATGGAACTAAAGAAACCCTTTTTCTATTTTATCACCTCCACTACCATAAGGAGCAAGTCACTAGGGTTTCCTTTGGGGAAGTAGGTCAATTTGTCCCCAGTTCAAGACAATTAATTTTTTTTAAACAGAAGATATGATACTTTTAAAATGAGGATGAATGTGAATAAAAAAAAAAGTCAAACAAGCCACCAGGCTGTGAGTTTGAGGAAAGCAAGGTCTATAACATAACCCTTTCTCCTCTTATGATAAACTTTGCAAGCAAATCAAAGTAAAGAAATATTGTTTTTTAGAAAAGGAGAAATTTTATTCATTACAAAGAATGATGAAAGTTAAATTTTGTTTTCTCTCTCTCAAATCCCAGTTTTAATTCATCCAAATCTCATAAGTCGGCAAACATATTGACTTTGAAGATAAACTTATATATATATATATATAATGTCTAGATGTAATAAATTTTAAAATAAGTTGTACCATATCGCAAGGTGAAATTCATACATCTCCAAAATCTTATTTATAACTTTAACAGAATTTGAACTTTTCTAAAAAGATCTTGATTACTACTATTTAATCTTATGAAATCGGGACATCTCTTTATTGACTTAGCAAATTACTTATTTGCTAGAATTAGAAGATAAATAATGACTTAAACTAGTTACTACCAACACAAGCTCTCAAAACAATTGGTTTGAGATTAATTATTTAATACATGGGATAAACAACTATATAGAAAGACAATATTGTAACCCACGAACTAAGTTCTAGCCTTTTCAGAGCGTGATACCCGATCACTAGGAAAAGTTAGAATATGACAGTGAGCTTCATTCTTAACCTGTAAATCCCCCACCACCAAAACCTACCAAATCCTCCTCTTATGCTGCTGCACTAAGATTTCTGCAGTACGCTTTCCGACTGAAAAATTTTCTACAGTATGACACAACAACAACCACAACCATGCTTGACTTTTACTGGTATCTTCAGAACCAGAATCCTTTCTGATGGAAAAACTGCTATAAGTGCAGTGGAACTTAATCAGTACTACATAAATATACAGTTTCTACTGAATCTTCCTTGCCAATTCTCAGTTTTTCTCTGACCGCCAATGAGAAATCCTACTTATTACACTATGCATTTCTATCTAGTTTAATCTATCAAACATAGTAGGAAACAGAGTATTTATGGTACCCTTTACCGTATCAGCTTAGGTGCAATAAACTAAACAAATGATATCATAAACAGTATCATTTCTAAAAATAATCACAAACACACATTTCTCAGAAGGTGACTAAACTAGTTTTAGTATATCCTTTGGTTTATCTATTTCTTTCATGAGGATGGTACCTTTTCTTATAGTTTCCTGAAAATCAATTAAAAGGATAAGAAAACAACTCATACTGAACAGAGCACGAGAATGAAACAGATTTTCCCGAGAAGGCATCTTACTACCATTTTTACAGAATTTACTTTGAGGAGGCAGATATGACTTTACTTTTGACTCTTTTTACAAAAGTTTAATTTTAGCAACTAATTTAAAATGTCAGATCTGATAACCCAGGAGTAGTACCTGTATAGCAGCTGTGCTTTCTTTCATTTGCATTAGGAACTTCAGTTATATTGTTAAATTAGTCAATCACTATGGGACCTTGGGAAGATTGTAACAACACTCCCTAAGGACCTTTTAGGAAAATAGAAGCTTAGTCAGCCTTAGCAGCAAACGTGAATCTTTGGGAGAATTTGTCCAAATTCACAGTTAGATATACTTTTAAGCTGTTAGGAAATGAATACTTTGTTTACTCCAAATACCTTAACACTGACAAACAACTTCTGATTCAGATTGGATTTTGGGACTTTCAAACCATAAACACCATATGACAAAGTCTGCTGCAGTGTCAAATTACACACTGCAGATGAACAGTTTGACACTGACTGATTGTATACATGACCAAAAAGCTCAAAAAGGTATAATTGCTGCCATTTTGCAACTTTTGCTATCATAGATCTTTACCATGGTGGGAGAGAAAAAATACTTCCAAAAACTACTGCCAGTTCATCAAATGAAGCAACTATTCTTAGTTTTTTTTTCTTTTCTGAAATAAATGATTATAAACAAAAGTGACAAAGCACACTTGAACTTTACTTGCCAGATATAAAAGATGCCAAAAGTAGGTACCAATGATAGCTCTCCCACTAACTGGAAAAGAAGTGCATTTAATTCTCTTATATATGAAGAGATAAATATATGCATCATAAGATGGTCCCAGACAGTGAGCTCCACAGGTAACACAACTTCAAAGTCTCTATCTTAGATGGTATGTGTCCAGAACACTCTTGTGGTCGAAAAAGAAAACATTTAAAATATACAGACACCTACAATTATATACAACTGCAGCAGAAACCATCCAATAATACAAATAAGAAGCCAAGTGGATTAGCTGAAGAAATTAAGATTTTTCTGATACTAAAAATGGGAAAATAACAAGGAAGACCACATAGAATATATTAGTTCCTTTAGATTTTTCCTTAGATTGGAGTTCCCTTAGAAGTAAAAGAAGACAGCGCCTGCAAAAAGATGTCCAACATAACTTTTGATTTTTTCCAATTTTTGGCAAGCAACCTTGTAAAAAAGATTTCCATAGTTTCAAGATGACCGTAGAGTCTATTGTATCTATAGTCTTACTGGATGCAGGTTGTGACCTGGATGAGGCATTCTGACACTGATATAGGATTGGCATCATTCATGAGAAATTTTTAAAGGATACAAAGTTATGTAAGGCAAAGTCTTATTATGAGATATAACGGTTCCGGAAATTTAAATGAAATATATGTATTAAAAATATCAAATGCGGAAGCGTAATAAAAATTTTGATTAACATCCTTTACACAATAACCAAAACGTACTCAAAATATGAAAGAACAAACTAACTAAAAAAGATACTCGAGATAAGAACTATAAATATAGCTATGGAGTCTTTAGGCGTCCCATTCGCCGTCTTCCTGCGGAACGGGCTCGGAAACAATGTCTTGCTGATCTGAAATTGTTAAATAAGGAATGAGCTACACCAGTCCAGTAAAAACATTATACTATCTCACCGCCACGGAAGTAAAGGTAGGTAGAAAGCAAAAATGATCAATGAAGTATAATTTATAACAAATTCATTTATCAATAATAAAATCTTTTACTGTCCACTTATCTCGGCGAGATCCATGAAAACAACATATGAAAACAATAACCTTATAATATCATGAAATCATACACACTTTATAACATAACATATATCACACCTTTACATTTCAATCATCAGGAAATAGATTTCCTCTTTTACCAGCCTACTAGTATCCCTGGGGATCCATAGGGGGTCCCCTCTGCACGTGAACCATTAACATTTACAACCTGATTCCAGGGCCGTCCCCATACCCCATCCGGTATGGGCGCCAAAACCATGAACATCAATACCCCGTCCGATATGAGGGTGAAACGGGGCATCCCCATACCCCATCCGGTATGGGCGTCAAAACACATAAGGTCTCCATACCCCGTCCGGTATGAGAGACCACGTTCCCGGTAGGGTTCCCTACGGACCCGATCCGTCCACCATCTCCCAGGATATCTAGTCAGGCTGTCCACATTATCCACTTATCAATTCATATAACATTTTTGTCTTTTTCCTTAATCTCAATCATCCAATCATACAAAACATGTAAACCAGTAATTGACACCAAATAAGACAATACAGTACCAAGTTCACCATAATAAAAGAAACATAGTTCATGCATACGAGATCATAACATAATTACATCAAATATCATGCTGCATTTAATACTGGAAATTAGATCAAACAATAACAGACCAACACTGTATCAGACTCGAGCTCCATTGGCAACCTTAATCAATTATACATCTATAAAGTCACAAAGTACAATTTAATTATTTATTTAGCTTTAATACCGTTATAGGAAACAGGATGAGGGGTCCTTACTTGTTTTGGGGTCTGAAATCGACTCTACAGTGTGCCTACGGGCTGTCCCAAATTTCCCTGAATTTTTTCCGGAAAACTGAAAAGTACTACCAGTACCTGCACGTGACCCAAAAAATCCCAAATCAGACCTAGGGCCCCTTTTGGCCAATATCGGAATTCCGGCACGGCGGCTCCACCGTGCTCCGGCGACGGCAAGCGGCAGCGATTAGCCTCGGGTTGGCCGTTTTCGGCCGAATTCGGCCACACTTGCATCGGTTCCTGTGATAAAACAACTCTAGGGCCCTCGGTGGGCTAAAAAATCACGAAAAACCGAGACTTACCGGCGGCGGTGCTCTCGGGTGCGGCGGCTCCTCCGACGTGAGTCGCGTTTGATGTTTGGCTCCGATCAACTTGTAGAGAAAAGAACGGTGATCACAGTGGTATAAAATTTGCATCAAACGAAGGCCGGAAAGGGCCTCATCGGAGGCAAAAACTGAGGAGGGGTGCGGCGGCGCCGCTAGGCTTCGGCTGAGTTTTCCGGCCGTTTGGCCGGTGGTTTGGCTCCGATTTGGCCATAGGTGGACTCAGCATCGAAAAACGAGAAATGGGAAAAAAATTTACCTCGATCGGCGTTCGGAAACTTCCCCGGTTTCCGATTTTCTTTTCAATAACACCCCCAAAATCCAAATTTTCACCTCTTTTTCCCAAAATCAATTTCAATTAAATCCAAATAATATTTTTACCCAATTTTATCATTATTATTATTTTTATTTTCATTAAGTTAAATTAAATTAAATAAAAATCAAATAAATAAAAATAAAAATAATAAAATAAAATTTTATTTTACTTGGGTGTTACATGAGATGTTAGGACTTTAAGAATCAGGATCTAGTTCAGCTTTTGCATGAAGAAGAGTTTGGAAGCTGGTCCTCTGTTTAGACATCTTTCATCCTCTTTCATTTTGGTTAATCTCTTGTATGCCCAAAAAGAAACTGATAGTAATATCTGACACTCACTAAGTATACATGCATAGTAATATCCAAACTGACATAAATAGTGTTGTGCCGAATCAAAAAATTAAGCAATCATATCAAAACAAAAAAAATAAAAGCAGAACTTACATTATTTGATTCACATGACCTGAATAGTTTTGAATTCAATATGGAAGAATTCTGGAAATTATAATATGTTTTTTTCTGATATTAGAACTTAACCTCTATACACTGACTCACATAGTAGCAATCAGCTCAATTATGAGGGTAAAAATAAATAGACTCGTATTACATATAGTGATTACAGAAAAAAAAAATCATGAAGTAGCATAATCCCGTTTAATCTAAAGCAGAAAACTTGTAAATCCCAAGAGAGTTTATATGTTATTTTAAACCATAGTATCAAGTTCAGACCAAAAAAAACATACTACACATGAAAGCATTAAGCAATCCTATGAAAATACAATGATCTTATCCTTTTTCCTTTGTGAGTAATGTACATGATGAGCTGTTACATTTTTTACATTGCCTGTGATAAGTCGAATCCAATCACAAGAAACACACAGTTCATTGGAAAAAATAAGAGCAATCTTACACAGTCCTGTGTTCTGTGAATGGCAATAACCAATCATGCATCTATAAGCCACCGGGGATAGTTTAGTTGCTCCTTAGAGCCAAAAGTACAGCATGGCCTGTCCATAGAAATGAAAAATATTATGAAGTCCTGAATCAAACTGACCAAAAACATAAGGCAAATCAACATTTAAAGATCCTCACTAGTTAGTAAAAAGGGTTGATTAAATACACATGCAGGATGAGTGACAAAGAGCAAATGATAACGAACGAAACAAAAAGAAAATAAAAAAACCATGAGAGAACGCATACCTCCTGGACAAGATGAAGGGAAGAATCATCTATAGGTGGAGTTTTCTCCTTCATCTTCCAACTTCTCATCTCAGATTGAATTGAATTGAGTTTCTCGCGTATTTCCTTCAACAAATTCAACTCGTCTTGACCTTCTTCATTGATTTCGTTCCTTGTAGTGGTTCTTTTCCCTTCTAGTTGCTGAACTCTCCGGTTCAACTGTTGCAACTCAGATTGGTATTCACTAATATTAATAGTTGCATGAATAAGATCCCTTTTACGATCAGCACTGGCTCCATCTCTTGGTGGTTTAGGAAATGAAAGCCTCTTCTCATTGTTTGTGCTAAGCAACACTGTCTTTAAGCTTTCAGTGTCATCTTTAACATGAGGTTCAAAGATATCGTCAGTGGCTAAATCTGGTTTCCCCAGCCTGTCTTCCAATTTAAAAGCAGATTTATCTCGCCCTTTCTTCTCCACTGCCAGAGAATTGTTTCTTTTCTCTGCTTGTGGGACTTCAAATATATCATACACATTAGAGGAAGAAGCAGGATTATCAAATGCTTCGCTCTTTGAAAACCTCTCGAAGTTCTTCACTTTCTCCAAGTTTGTTGCAATTTCATCTCTTGTTGATTCAAGGATACTAGTGCTCACATGTGACAGCAGCATACGAGATCTAGAGTCGCGCTTTACCATTGGATTTCTGTCTATTCGAGCATCTTTAAAATCTGAAATTTCCCTAACTCGTTCGTCCAACTTCTTTATCTGCTCCCAATACGAATTCAAGTCTCCAGCAGGAGAAATGTCTGAACTCTTCTTTGAAATATCTATGGTTTGATCAATCACTTCCTTATCCGGGATGATATCTGGGCTGGGGCAAAGAGATTTGTCACTGCCTACCGTGATTTTCTTGTCCATAGAGTCATCAATTTGCAGTGGAGGCAGAGACTGGAGTCTCCTGACCATATTGCTTCCGGCACCAGTTTCTCCAAACAATGCATCATTTGTCTGCAACATTAGATTCTCAGGAAATTTATTTTCACCCACACCCGGATCAGAACAACCAAGGCTTAGAAGCTTGCACCTATAAGCTTGAACCTGGAACTCAAGAGAAGCAATCTCCATTTCTTTCTGGTATATAAGCTCTTCAAAAAGCGCCAGAGACGTCTCGGCATGACACATCTTCTCCTCTGCCATTCTCTTGTACTGACTTGCTTCCATTGTCAATGCGGCCTTCTCTCCTTGCAACCTCAGTATCATAGATAGAGCTTCACTTGCTGCACTTGACGAGGCTTCTCTTTCAACATCCAACTCAGTGTACAGCGTTTGCAGAAGCTCTTGTTGAGCTTGGAGCGTTTCTTTCAGAGCTGAATCAGCTCCAGCCACCCCCAAACTTACGGTACGCTCAACCATGGCGAATTTAAAAATTTACTTGATCTGGAAGAAAATAGTTCCGTTTTACGCTTCAGTAATTTCAATAGAATTTTGACACACAAAATAAAAAATAAAATGCTCATTAATGACCGAAATGAATAATTAATTTCCCGGAAGTTTAACTCGAGGAACATGATCAATAATCTTACAGACTTCATTACCAGAAAACAGAAAACAAATCCCTAGAATTAATGAACACCAAATGGCCACGATAATTACCTGGTAATTTTCAGAAGAGAAGAGATCAATCTGTTGGCTGAGCAGAACCCAGTTGAGATAGAAGCAAAACCTCAATACCCTTTACAAAGCTTCTCCTTCTTCGGTCAAACAAGACCACAACAACAGAAACCCAGGAAGATATCAATGGCGATTTTACAGAGTCGGAAAATTTACAGGTACAAACACAAAACCCGAAAAGAAAAACCCACTCCCTATTTAACAGATAATGGGAAAAAAAAAATCTTCGATCGGAGGAAAAATTATCGAATTACAGCCTAAGATCATCTGTTGGGTATAAGAATTATAGAAAATATATAAATGACAGTGGATTTCTCATGTATTTTTCTTTTTTGACATAGCAAACTCATACTAAAAAATTCCATAAAGAGAAAAAAAAAAAATTTTTTAAAAAATCCATATTTAAGAACATGCTAATTTTTTTCCTTTTTGGTTGTCATAAAAAGATAATTACCAATTTATGTAACGCTTTAATTAGATTCATTTCTTACAAAAATACGGATTAACATTAGCAAAATTAATTTATAAATATTTTAATTATATTTTTTATAACCAAATTATGTAACGTTAAATATGGATTAACTTGCAAATTTATTATATTAATTACTATTTAGTTAAATAGTTACTATCTTTCTCCATAAAATATTATAAATTCAAATTAAATTCATAAATTTATTACATATTAATCCGATAAACTTGTCTAATAAAAATAGAATAATATTAATAAAAAATCATTCATGAAAATACTAATAATTATTTTATTTATTATATAAAATGAATTAGTTGGTAAATTTTCTTAACGAGAATAAAATTAATTTATTAGATAAAAACCGTTTAGGCAAGGCAAGCACGAGTCACGAGTGAGACCGATTAGGCGGTAATTAAATTAAATTAAACCAAATTAAATTATGTTCTGAAATTTGAATTGAGTAATCATAGCCATTGATCTTTAATGATGACGTAGGTGGGGCCATGATTTCTTCATACTTGCTTTTTTAACGTGAAAGCGGAGTTTTGAGTTGCCTTTAGAAAATTTAAAATGCCGTTAAAAGCGGTTACAACGGCTCTTACGGGAGATGTTTGGGGCGTTACATGTTGCCCGCATGTTTGGCCTACGTTAATGATTTGTACAACGTTGTCAGCTACGTCATTTTTACCGTTTATTTTATTTGGTATTTAGTCAATAACGAATAATTAATTATTACTACCATTTAATTCATTATTTTTTTTTAGTAAAACGATTTGATTTTAAGTTTACTTTAAAAAAAATAAAAAATGTGTATATTAAAATTTATTGATAAATATTTAAGTCTCAATAAATATATATATATTTTTTAATTTTTTTTATAATATTATAATTTAATAAATTTTTGTTTTGTTATGTGTTAATGAGACGACTTTAAATGAATAACTATAATAATAGAGAGAGTTATTATTTCATTGATCGGATAATTCATAATTTATTTAAAATTATAATCACGGAACATCTTTAACGAAAATTTATTTTAAAATGTTTGTAAAACACTATCACATCTACTTTTCATATATTTTATTCTTTTATTAATTATATATTTATTTTACAAGATACAATATTTAACATACATTTTATCAATTATATATTTCTATTTTATCATATGTTTAAAATTTTGTTAATTTTTAAAAAAGAAATTTTTATTAATTTCAAAGCTTTTATTTTTAATATTCTACATTATAAATTTTTTAACTATAATTTTACTTTTTGTATTATAATTTCTTATATAATATTTTAATATTAGTGATCTAAAAAAATCATTTAAAAGTTACATTACTGTTGTATATTGATTTCAAATGCACAAGAATTTTTAAGAAAAAAGAATTATTTGTACTTAAAGAATTGAGAAATGCGGTGGCTAATAGATTTAAAAGAGAAAAATTGAAGAAACAATTCACAAAGGGGGATGAGGGAGGCACCCACGGAGGTTATTGAGAGAGAGCAAGTTCATTGATATCGAGAGGGAAAAGTGTATAAAAAAGAAGGGGGAGATTGGGATCGAGAAGGAATAATATTTGTGAATAAAATGTTGAAACCCTAATATATGAAAAAAAAAAAAAAAAAACTTATATAGTATGATAGGAATTCAAAAAACTTATTTTTGAAGTAACAAATTTCAAATAGTCAAAATGGATAGAGATATTTAGATAATATATTCTTTATTTGTACTGTTATGCGTATGTTAGTAATTAATATTTACTTATTCATACCTATTTTATAATCAGAATAACAAAGAAAACTCTAATCCGTTAAAATTGTTCACTCTCTTGGAGACTATTGCAGGTCTTAATCAAGTGTGAGCAAAATTAAGTTCGGTCAAATTAGATCGAGATATTTGACGGATTCAATTTTGAATTATAAAAACTTGTATGTATTTAGACCAGCAAATATATATATATATATGTTATGAAATATTATATTTTTAAAATTTTATTTAAAAAAAAATCCTAAAACCTAAACAAGATATACACACTCTCATTACCGGCCGCCACATCCTTTATTCATTATCTTCATCTTCATCTTCAAATTTTTTCCTCTTAATGTATAGCTATTATCTCTTTCTTTCATCATTCATCTTCATCTTCACATTTCATCATATTCATTTACAACCGCCATGTCCTTTCTTCATCATTCATCTTCATCTTCACATTTCATCATATTCATTTACAACCACTACGTCCTTTCTTCATCATTCATCTTCATCTTCATCCAGTCAGCCCGAGCTTGAAATCTTTAGTCGCATCATAGCTTAATATGTGCAGTGCATATCAAGACTTTCACAAGCAACTAATGGAATTGAAGGAGCAATTCTATAGATTACAGTTTTTTTTTCAACAATGTGTTTCACCAAGATAAGATGGTACCGCGTAGGTTTCACTAAAAACTCACATAGCACAAAAAAAAAATAAAATAAATTTTTTTTATAAACTTATTTCAAGTTCGAATCAGTTTCAGAATAATGTATTCTATACCCAATACTGAATTTAATGATATAACATATCATGAACCAATAAAATCTATACATTCACTCATTTATCTATCTCTATTCACAATTCATAAAATTACTACTTTATCAATCTCAAACATAGTAGATAGAACATATTTATCAAATAATCATCTCAGTTCTCGTCTCTAACAATAAATCATGATTAAACTCTCAACAAATACAAACTAATTTGCCAATGATCATAGCCTCTAATATGAAGAGATTCAATATCGATTGCCAATTGGGAAATTTTCAGGTGAGATTTGGGAGTTTTGGTTGAGAAATGGAAAGATACATAGGCATTTTGAGGTACTTGATGTAGAAATGTTAAACTTTTTAGTTTCTATAAGTCAAAGGCAGCCCATTATGTTCTTATATGTTTTAAAAATGCAATGACTTTTTGCATTAAGCTAAGTTTGGATAATGTTTTAGTAATTTGTTTTCATAATTTCTTAAAATAATATTCGTCAGGAATCGACTAAACCAACTTCAATATTATGCCAATTCACTTAAAATCGATTTGAAATTGAATCCATATTTAGAACAACTTCAACTTCAAATGCATTAAGATACACAAATGACTGAAAGTCTGCAACTTTTTTGTTCCAAACACACTTTAGAGTTGAATACATCCAAGAGACCATTAAATATAATATTCTACAAATATCAGATTTCTATATCAATATATGCTGGCAAAATATTGGGATATAAATTGAAAGAGACTTAAAATCATGTTACCTTGAAAGAATACAGAGCTTGATTCAATGATCATGAACCGGAGTAAGCAAGGGTTTGTTGTCGAAGAAAGCTTCCAAGTTACCCACTACAACTTTCCTCAACTCCTCGAAAGTCTCCATGGTAAACACCGCAGAATGAGGCGTCATGACGACGCTATCCAATTCAAACAGCTCAGCCGGCACATCAGGCTCCCTCTCGAACACATCCAGCCCAGCACCTCCGATCTCTCCCTGCACCAGACATCTAACCATTTCTTTCTCGTCTACAACTCCGCCGCGCGCGACATTTATAACCACTCCTTCCTTCCCCAGCGCCAATAAAACCTCCTTGTCGATCATGTGGTGGGTTTGCTCTGTTAGTGAGCAGCAGATGATGAGTGCATCGCTGTCGGCTGCGAGCTCGCGCACGTTTGTGTAAAATGGGTATGGAAAACTGGGTTTTCGTGCTCTTGAATTGTATGAGATATGGCAGCCGAAGGATTCCAGTCTTTTGGCCACCTCTACGCCTATGCTCCCCAGTCCGACTATCCCTATTCGTTTCCCACCCAGCTGGAAAAGTCATTAAGAGTGGTAAATGGCGTCAGGAGCAACTGGTAATATGATCGAACAGTGGTGTGCATTTGGAAAGACGAATTCCATAGATTTCTGTTAGTATCTCTTTTTGGGATGAAACAGGTTTTAACTAGAACCAAAATGGAAAGTTTATAAATACCTTACAAGCAAGCGGGTATTCCCCTTTACTGGTCCAAAGTCCACGTTTCACATATCGATCGGCAGATGAAATTTTCCGCAAGACATCAATCAGGAGTCCGATGGCCGCGTCGGCGACATCTGGGGAGAAGATGGTACCAGCGTTGGCTACAGCGATGCCGCGACGGCGGCATTCGGCTATGTCGATGTGGTTGAGGCCGGCGCTGGTGGAAACGACGAGGCGAAGATCCGGCAAGAGGCGAATGATATCGGCGGTGACAATGGAGCAGCCGGAAGAGAGGATGGCCCGGACAGAGTGGGAATGGGTGGCCAAGAATTGGTGGAGAGGGAGATCTGACTCGTAGGATTTAAGGAAATGGAATTTGGGTGAGTCATAGAAATGGTCGCCGAATAATACGAACGCCGGCGGACGTTTCAGAACCAGGACTTGAGGGAGGACGGGAGACGGAGAGCTTTGATCCATCTGTAAGCGAGTGAAACTGGAAAACGAAAGTTCCAAGAATCTTACTTTTTCGCTTGATTGGGTTTACAAATTCATCATCCTTCTTCCCGGGAGAGTCAACGAGTTCGTTAGCTGCAAATTGGAAATCACAACTATCCATTTGGATAAAAAATAATTAATTTAATTTCAGTTTTTTTATTAAAAAAATAATAATAATCAAATTTTAAAATCATGAATATGACATAAAAATATTAAAATTTTTAATAACTATAAATATTTATCGTCAATATCAAATATAAAATTTTTATATACTCTATTATGCTAAGAAATTATTCATCTTTCTTATGATATTAAAATTCTAGAAATCTAAAAATATTAGAGGAAACGTATTCAATGTACTCCGTGAATCTTCTTATAATTCTTTTTACTTAATTTTTTTTTCTCTGTTCTTTTATTTTAATCTTCCATCTTACATTCTCTAACTCATTTATGAAATCATATTATCAAGTCAAGAGTCTCCGTTCTATCTCGTTATTTTAAATTTATTCGGAACTAATTTGTGGGACAATGTTTGGATTCTTTCTTTTGTTTATGGGTTTTAACATGTAAAATTTCTCTCTTCTTACTATAAGTTTAGTGTAGTAAAAATTTCGTAGGTCATTATGAAGAACTCTCATTACGTTTCAATCATTATTTGTTTTATTGCAATACTTGTAGACTCTCTGTTTGTGAATACGCAATGGTAGACCTTTATGCATACAGGAATGTCGAATGGAAGGTCAGCAATCCTCTCATGCAACGGAAGTTCGTTTGTCATTACAATGCCAGTAAATCTAAAGAACAAAGTGGCTTACAGTGGTATCTGTTTTAAGAATTCGGATTTCGTACAAGAAACTGAAAACTGATTGCTATCCGAATGAGTACTATGAACAGCAAGAAGTCGTAACATGAACTGACTGTTACCTTTGTCTTAGTCCACTGGAACCTCGACCTCCATTTTTAAATCAGAGCTTCCGAGAGTCTGCAAGTTGTGGGATGCCAAAAAGGAAGAAAAAAGATCATTAAACATCCAAACTTCTTAGTTCTTAACACGTATCATAAGATTGATATTAACAATTGCAAAGGAAAAATTAGTTAAATTTATGTGCTTAGTTCTTGCAAGCATCATTAACTTGGGAAAAAGGAATCCATTTGTATAGATGACCATGGATATCTACTGACCTCTGGATAGTAACTGTCTATTGACATCTTTAACATTATTTGATGGAGAAGGGGTAATTACCAACACCACTAATCTTCCAGAATTTCAATTAGTTTAAAGCAAATTATTGGAGAGAGAAAAAAAAAATGGTTCTCAAAATATAGTACAGTAGTTAGAAGATGATCAGACATTACTACAGTAGCTAATCTCAAAGGCAAAAAAGAGTCCACTTTTCAAATGGCAATAGGAATAAAGCCATCTTTGATCATCATATTTAAAGGAATAGAATCGCCAAAAATTTCACCATAACAAGGAGTAGTGGCATTCTAATGAACAATATATTTGATGGTTGGGATCTAGGATGCTGGGGCTGTGAGGGAAGTTCAGAGAAAGGTTGCATCAGTTGTAAACATTGTAGATATTGTGTTTGTGCATCCATGTATTTGTATCGAAGAGGGGATAATAAATCAATGACTAGAAAGAAGAATGAAAACAATGTGAACTTAAACTGAGAAAAATCTAACTTATTATTCTCAAGGCCAAAAGGGTTACTGACTTGATAATAGAGGTACGTTTGTTTCCAATTAAAACATTTAACTCAGTTACATAAGTTCAATTATCAATTACCAAAAAGCTAAAGCTAATAATATGAACTAACTTCTTTTTTGTCATATAATTCCAAAGTATCATCTCCCAACTTGTAGCATCTCTCTTTGGTTATGGCAGACACAAAAAGCCATAAAAGGAAAAAATTAAACAAACCCGTAGTTGCAGAGGAGCAGCTGCTGACATTATCACCTAATTACATATATGTTATGATTAAGCCTTCCCAGTCTCTCCAAACCAAGTTAAGCAGTTTGTAGTTCAAAAGTATCAACTGTGATCAAAGCCTTCCTGATACAAGTAAACAAATAACCCCCACCTATCAACTCCACGTGTTGAAAGTATACTAAGCTACCACCTCTAATCCTAAGAACCAGAAGTTATCTATAATTTAAAGACTTCTGAGATAAGTCTAATTGCCAATGTGATCTTCAGAATGTGCTAATAGAAAACATCCTTCCTTACAGCTAAGCTCACTGTTCTATTATTATTATTATTTCTTTTTTTTTTTTTTTGTGTGAGAGAACGAGATAAAGGTAAGCTCACTCTGTTAAAGCCTAAAAGGAACAATTTGGAAGTTCAGAGTAGGGTTCTTTACTTACAGCCTAAAATTAAAAGCTGAAAAGATCAGAGATTTTAAGAGAGAAGTAAACAGGGTTTTTAAAGGAAAGCAAGGGTGAAGGGAAAACCTTCCTCTTGTCAGGGAGTTTAATGAATTTCAGGCGCAGGTTATAAATGAACCGTGTTTGGTTATGAAGAGCTAAAGGAGTTTTTAGAGCAAAGAAACATACATTTTTTAAACTATTTTTCCCTGCAAGCCCACCAAATCATAGTAAAAAGTTAGCCTTTTACAAGTACTGGGAGCTTCTGCAGACACCCTCAGTGTACCTCAATAGCACTGAAAGAATCTTGAAGATTAAGCCTCTTTTACTTTACCTACAATACCATGAAAAACACAATCTAAACCGATCCTAGCCCAATGTACAGAGGCAAAGAAATTTAGCATGCATTACGATGGCACGCAATGATGAACAATCAGGAAATAGGAGGAGCAATGAGCTCCATAACAATGCAAGTGAATTAAAAGTTCCAACATTTAAGGGTAACATTTGAAAAGACATTAACTGCGTGAGCAGAAGAATAAGACAAGACTCACTCCAAACTTAAATCTGAGCAAGACTATACTACAGTTACAACCCACACTCCACCAGAAAAATTTCATGGTACCTTTAGAAAATCTGATATAACTAGTGAAGAATCCTTCGTGTAGCCTGCTTCCTCAAGGACGTGGACCAGAACTTTCTATTTCAAACACAAAAAGTTCTTTGCATGAGTTATATATAATTCTTTTGGAAACAAAATGTAAAATAAGACCATAATTTAAATAATCTGGATGTAGTTTGAAGTATCTCGATTCAAGTGGGTAATTCCAACAGTAAACTAATGCACATTGTTAATATAATAATAACTTTGAGGACCATAAAAAAAATCCACATTTCTTATAACCTAGAAAAAGCTTGTGTTAGCACACTAAGATTGACTGTTATGCATAAATAATCCACCAAAATAGCAAATGATAGTTCGTAAATTTATTTGATATGAGTATTAGGATCTTGATTCAAAGAAAGTTCATGTAAACATGTCAAGTACAGTACTCTCAGTGACGGGATGTGTCAATTTCTGAAGATTTCAGAAGATATGCAGTTTGATATCATAACTACCCGTTCACTTCTATCGTAAATCTGATGCACCAACAAAAGAATGCTAAGAACACTTGTAAACCAAGTGTTTCAATCAGCAATCATTGGAACTTCATAAATTTCATCGATCATTGAAGTAGTTTCTTCCTTCTACTTATGAAGAACCAATTTATAAATTAAACTAAAAGGATTTTACTGTTTTTTGGCTAGAGCTTTTGACGAGTCAATTTCATGAAACAGCTGAAACGTAAATCTTGTGGAAGCTAATGTTTCCATCGATTAACATCAGTTTCAGGATCTAAAGAAATATGATCCCAGTTGGATTTCCCTTTAATATAACAAAGATATTAATGTGAAGGATTAATGGTGCATAAAAGGGGGAATACTGAAGAAAAAGAGAATTCTGTTAGCCAAGCCACCGACCTCCCTCTGTTGTTCGGATATGAAATGCCCAGTCAAATCCCTCAAAACATCCAGCATGTCGTTGAAGGCAACTTTTCCATTACCATCTGAATCATACACTTTGAAGATAACTACAAGAAGAAAAAAAATTTCAAAAAACAACAGAATTGGATTAACTCAAAAGTATAACCAACATAATACTTCCACAGAAATCAAAACAAAAATGAAAAATCACTACATTCGATTTTGTGTTGCAAACTCGCGCGAGGACTAAACGCGGATAGGAACGCCACAAATTCTTTGAAATTCAATCCGTCTAGCATCCGCAACAATCTCTGAACAAAGTCCAAACAAACACCGAAATATAACATATTAGCACACATTCAAACATTCATACGAATCATATACGCATATACAGACGTGTAGGTACAAAATTTAGAGGACCTGAGAGAGAGGATTGACAGCGAATTCAGGTACAGACATGAACTCGTCGGCGGAAATGAAGCCGCAGCCATTGCGATCGAGCTGACAGAATCTCTGGTAGAGAGAGACGATCTCTATCTGAGAAACTGCACAAACCCCAAACAGAGATTTTATTTGGAAAAAAAAAAGGCAAAAGAAAGTGAAAAATCACATGCGAAGCTCCATGATTAACAATGCAGACACGGTATTATAGATGCGAGGAAATCAGTAGATTACATGTGTGGTTACAGTGTTCTTGAACTTCTTCAATGTCGTATTGAGTGAGCATCGAAGATGTATTGCCCATCGTTACGGAGAAGCGAGCGGGAGAGCAAGAGAAAGAGGAGCGACTGAGCGTGGTGTCCTCTCTTGGAATTATCGATAACTTTATTGCAGACCAAAGATCCAGGTGAGTTAAGATAATGCAGATTTGCATTTAGTGCTATTATTAATTTGCTGGTCTGCAAAATAACAGCAACTGTCTTGAGCTCGCAGGGTGACGTCATCGCTGCTGTGCTGATGTTGTCTGGTTGGTTGGAATAAGAAGAAGATGCTCCTGTTTGGTTTCCAGGATAAATCTAGCCCCCACCAAGAACAACAATATGCAATTTAATTATATCAGTTTATATAATTCTTTTCATAATTTCCATATTTTGTCCCTAATTTTTACCTAAAATTTTTTAAAATTGGTTTTTAACTTTTAAATTTCTCAATATTAATATTTATTTTTAATTCATTTTAGTATTAAATTCAACAGAAATCACCACATAATTAAGCTTCATAAAAAATATTTTTAAAAAAAAAATATCTGACAATAGACCTAATAAATCGAACTTAATTTTTTTAAAATTTTAATTTTAATTTTAAAAAAATTTCAAATATTTTTTAAAATTAATTTATTAACTTCGACCCATTCATTTTTATTTTAGTCCGAACTAAAATTAAACCAAAATAAATTAAATTTTTCGATCCTCTATTACCTATATTGATTATCAAATTAAAATAAACTTAGAGATGCGTGATCAACCCATAATCGTACTCTATTACATTTACTTAATCATTTTTTATAAGTTTAACAAATTATTTTTGACATTATTATACATATATATATATATACAATAAGAACATAATGTATAAACAATCATTGATGTCTAAGAGACAAAAAGTGCATTATAAAAAAGAGGAATAGGTGAAATTATGTAGAAATATAATCTTTTAAAGTATTCATCAATACTATATACCAATAATTTTCTAAAGACACTCTTGAAAGAATTTATAACTTGTTTAATTTCTAATCTCTTGATTATTTATTAAATATTCTTCTATAAAGATTATAAATACTTATTGATTTGGGAAAAAAAAAAGAGTTAAATTAAATACTATCTTTATATTCTTTTCATATTTATCCCAATAAAAAAAATTAATATTGTAATTAAGAACATAATAATCCACGAATTAGTTCTTAATTTTTTTGATGTAATCCAACGTTAATATTACTAACTCGAGACATAGGTTAATTTTCAAATAAATTAAAACGTTTATGAAATTTATTCAAAAAAAAAACTATACTGACTTCGATTAGAAAAAAATAAAAACTTAATTTAGAAAGTAAATTAAAAAATAATCTCTAGCAAAATTCTTAGTAAAATTGGAACGATGGTTTTCAATACGGAAAATAAAATGTATTATTTTATTTTAAATTATTGAGAATTACTATTATTTTAAATAGATTAAGTTTAAATTTTAAAATAAATTCTACAAACTTCTCGTCTTGTTGCAAATATAATCGCGAGTACATCAAAGAAATTAAAAAAAAAATCTACATTTGATTTATTTTTGAAATATCTAAGACGAATGAATCAAGATTAGCGTAAGAAAATCCTCTTTTAGTAAGAGCTCCTCGACACATTATCTTGAGTTCTTCAACTTTTCTCCGCATTTGCATCACTTCCTCGTTATCAAAATCCAAAAATCGTTGCACAATATTTGCAATTTCTTCTCTCTCAATCAAAATCCAATCCTTCTCTAGTGTATTTCTTTTAACCCTCCATCCAATCTTCTACAATTTGCTTGCTATTGGGAACTTGATCCCAAAATATGGGAAATGTAAGCAGAGGAACTCCGGCATAAATAGCTTCAAGAGTTGAATTCCACCCGCAATGTGTCCAAAACCCTCCTATAAGTACATCAAAGAAATAAAAAAAAAAAAAAAAAAATCTACATTTGATTTATTTTTGAAATATCTGAGATGAATGAATCAAGATTAGCGTAAGAAGATCCTCCTTTAGTAAGAGCTCCTCGACACATTATCTTGAGTTCTTCAACTTTTCTCCGCATTTGCATCACTTCCTCATTATCGAAATCCATAAATCGTTGCACAATATTTGCAATTTCTTCTCTCTCAATCAAAATCCAATCCTTCTCTAGTGTATTTCTTTTAGCCCTCCATCCAATCTTCCAATCTTCTACAATTTGCTTGCTATTGGGAACTTGATCCCAAAATATGGGAAATGTAAGCATAGGAACCCCGGCATAAATAGCTTCGAGAGTTGAATTCCACCCGCAATGCGTCCAAAACCCTCCTATAGAAGGATGACATAAGACTCTCAACTGATCACACCAAGGTGTTATCAGCCCTCTACCTTTATCATCGAGGGTCTCAACACCATCAAATTGTGAGATATCGTCACGAATAACCCACAAGTATCTAACATTACTATTTTGCACACCATAAATAATTTCTTCCATCTGGGACTTTGAAACAGAAAGAAAACTACCTAATGAAATATATAAAACTGAGCTTCTAGGTTGAGAATCCAACCATTGGAAATAGTTAGTGTTGAGATTACGTGCGTCTTCCGACTGTGGTTTGTCTTGAAGGGCTAAGTAAGGGATTGAGGGCCCAATTGGGTATACGGGAAATGAAAATTTTGATTTTAGTGCTTCGATCGCATGGGGTTCGAGCTCGTGAACTGAAGTGAATAAAAGATATTGAGCTTTCGCAGCATGGGAAACACAATTTAAGGCGGTGTCTAAAACTTGTTGACCAGTTCCGAAGAAAAATGTTGGAAGATCTCTTGTTTTTGTTGGAGGAATTCCGGGAATGTAATCGACTACTTCATTTCCAAAACCTAAAAAAAAAAAGATTGTTTGAGTAATATTATAATTACCATGTTTTAACGCTGAATCAAGCTGTGTAATTTCTAATCAAAGTCTGAGAATTTTTAATTACAGTAAAATTTAACAAGTGATACACTAAATTAACAAAGTAAACTATAAAATGATTGTGCTTATGCGTACCAGACAATGAGGCCGGGAAGTGCCGGTTTTGCAGGAGGAGGTCAAAATGGAGGAAGATGGAAAACACCGTCGCCGACATCGTCCAAAGCGAAGCTATCGGAATATTCCTCCGGTTGGCGACACCGACATCCCAACTCAAGTAAGGGTCGGCTATAATGACCGAAACCGGCGGCTCCAGCTGGTCAAGAAGTTGCTCAAAAGGAGCTTCCAGCTTGGTGGTGACAGCTTCAATGAAGCCGGGGAAATCCTTGGCTCGAACCAGCTCTGAAGGTATGATGTTAGGAAGCGTCCGAAAACGGATGTTATTCGGCTTGGGATCCGAGCCGATGAAGCCGAGCCACTCGTCGGTGACGACGAATGTGATGAGGATGTTGTCGGGCTTCCTTGAAGCCAGCTGCTTGCAGAGGTTCATCATGGGGTTGACGTGGCCTCTCCCGGGATATGGGACGGCCACCACGTGGCAGACGCTGGTTGGTTTCTCTTTCGCCGGTTCCATGCTAAGGGAGATAGTTTGGCACGTTCAAGTTGAGGGAAGTGGAAGCGAACCAAAGTGAACTACAAACGCAGAGATTGATGTCGTTTTGGGTAGGAAGTTAATAAGAAGATGTATCGATGAGCTTCTGCAATTTTTTAAGACGTGTTTGGTTGCTGGGAAATGGAGCAAGGAAAAGAGGGCATATGGAGATAAGGGGAGAGGGTGAGAGACAAAAAGGACAGTGGTGGGTCGGATCACGGATGACAATTCAATTTATGGATCCGTACCCGAATGTAATAATTCTGTAAATTGATTTGGAAAAAAGAAAAAAGACAAGAAGACACATCTCTCGAGTTGACAAAGGCACAAAATTACAATCAACTTGTTATCATTTCGACTTTCTCGCCAAAATCAAGTGTATTACGTTTCCTTAATATGAAAAAATATATATATCTACTTATATTTACACATTGAAAATAACATTGTTCACACGTGGGTTAGTATTTTTTAATTTAAAATATGTACGATGTATTTTATTAAAAATTATCTTTTATTTTTTTAAAAAAATATTTAAATTAAATATCACACATCACTAATTTAAAATCATTTAATTTAGAATGATAGTATTATTTAATGAGTTAATTTTTTAGATTAAATGTTATTTAACATGACATTAACCCAATAAAAATTTTTAATTTATATTAATTTAAGTCTGTCAGAATATTAATTTAGAAAAACGAACTAAGTTCATATTAAGAAATTCTGAAAACACCCAACTCCACCCACTAATCTTTTTCACTTCTCACGTTTTCTCTCTCTAACACTGCCTTCTTCTTCTTCCCTCTCTAAATATTTTGTATGTCATTAGAAAAAAAGGAATAAAAACACACCGAGTACATTAGATAACCACTTTCGCAAGAAATAAAACAAACACTAACTAATACGTTCATCATTTCTCACATTGAAGAACCCAAATTGATGTTGTCATAGAAGATTTTCTTGAACAGCTTTAAATGGTTGGTCTCCAAGCATATAGCCAATGATAAGCTGCCATCATTCTTTGGATCGTTGCCTATATACCCTTTACCTTCGCTGTATATACCCGTAGGTCCAACATATCTAGGCTTTCCCCAACCAAAATCTGACTCACTGAGTGACAACCGATTCCAAGCTGTGATCGCAAGGTTAGGATTTCGGTAAATTTCGTTTCCTTTTTGGGGTGACAGAGAGTCAATATCAGGATGTTGATCTAAATAGGCAAGAGCTGATCTCATGTATTCATTATCAACTCTCTTTATCGATTCACGAATCCTCTTTACGCTTTGTTTCAATGCTTCTCTTCGGAGATCACCGGCAAAAGCTACGGGTCTCGCATGGAATATGGCATTGCCGAAATACCCTAATGGGAGTGGAGGAGACAATCTTGACCGTCCACTCACTGCCACGTGTAATCTCGTTGCTTGATCATCCACTAAACCACGTGCTGTGCAGGCGCAACGCCACACGTGTGCAGTGAGAATCTCGTACGTGCTGTAATCTCGTTCGTTCGCTATTCTCTTTAGAATGGTAAGTTGGTTAGTGGTAATTTGGAGAATCGTAGTGGAAATAGGTTGGAATTGATGTCTAGGGTTATTCATGGAAGGGGGTGGTTCGTATTCTGTGTGGCGAAATGTAGGGGATGTCGGAGTCCAAGCTCGGAGAACCGTTCGATCAAGAAATGGTTTGACGACCACGGGGAAGCCACGTGTTATGTTACCCCAAGAGTTGATAATATGTCCATAGCCTGCGCCGTCTGATAATTAGTGATGCCATCCAACTCCCACACAAATTCCTCCACACTTGAACCGCGTTACCTATACATGGTATAAAAATTTACCATTAATATTTTCTTAAGATAAAAAATTCATACATTTCATTAATTTAATTTATATACCTGAACTAAAAGAAGAGGACAAGATGAGATATCGGTTGAATAATCAACAGCGGGAATAAGTTGACCGAGTTTGGAACCTTGTGAAAAATCGAGAAGGAGATCATCGATGGTAGAATCGGATTCGGCCTCAAGAAATAGAGCTCCCTTGGCATTACAATGGATATGAAGTTGGTCGTTTTTGTGGCGGCGCAGCCTCCCGGCAGCCGGATAAAATGGCACTAGAGTTTTACTTAAACCCTCCTTCAACAAGTCAGTGTTAAAGAAATTGGTGGAGCCGTTGTGTCTGTAAAAGTGGACGAGGCCAATGTGAAGCCTTACATGTAACAAGTCCAGTTTTGAGATCCATAAATTATGTCTTGGTGTTGCTTCAGCTGGTTCTACAATGCTGGATTTCTTTACTCGAACCTTCATCAACAATCTTCTGTAATATATGTATATGTATTATTCCGACTGTCACAACCCGAAAGTGATTATGAATTAGTTGACACCGATATAACAATTATAATATAATATAAATAAATTTATCCTTTTAAAAGAACAGCAGAAGAGAGAATTCTCCAGAAAAAGGAAAAGATAAAAGTGAAAGAAGTCAGAATTGACGGCAAATGAAATCTTCCAATAAAAATTGAAGTGCTCAACTACTCTTATCGACAAGATGATCATCTCATGGTTTGGTCTACCAGAAGCAGCATAATATTAAAGAAAATGTGACGGATCATATCAGAGTATTCTATTTATTTAAGTTTAGTTTTATTAGCAATGTTCTAAAAAATGAGAGAAATAAATACATATTTCGGTCCAGAAAAAATTAGTTCAAAGATTTCTCATCGCTAAAAAATGGGGTATAATTAAAAATTTAGCGTTTTCTTGCCTTTTCTCGCTAGCCAAACGAGAACTTTTTTTTTTTTTCTCATAATTCAGATCTGGAAACTTAAAAATAGAAAATCAAAACTTGATGTTCACTCAAATATATTATAATAGGAAATACGTGAACCTTCATCGATACTCTTCTATAATATATGAATATAAATTATTCCGCCTGTTACAGCCTGAATGTGATTATATGTAGAACTTGATTTTTTTAAAAAAAAAATTATTATATTTATATATTTATAGATTAAATAATAATTATACAACAATTGTAACATAATATAAATATTCTAAAAAAAAACAGTAGAAGAGATAATTCTCCAGAAAATAAAAAGAAAAGGTGAAAAAAGTCATCATTGATTGCCGATAAAATCTTCAAATAAAAATAGAAATACTCAACGATGTTATCGACAATACATCGTATCATGGTAAGGTCTACCAGACGCAACAAAATATTAAAAAAAAAAAAAAAATTGTGAAGGATCATATGAGATTATTTAAACCGAGGAGATATTCTTTGCTATTTTATTTATTTTAAGTTTAATTTTATTAGTAATATTCCAAAAAATCAGAAAGGTATATATGTTCGGTCTAAAAAATTTAGTCCAAAGATTTCTTATCGCTAAAAAAATGGGGTATAATTATACTTAAAAAATGTTTTCTCGCCGTTTCTCGGTAGCCAAACGAAGATATTTTTTCTTGTAATCCAGGTCTCGCAACTTAAAAATGGAATATCAAAACTTGAGGTTCAATCAAATATATTATAAAAGGAAATATGTATTTTGTTTCTACGTGGTTAGTTTCTATTTAGAAAACGAAAAACAAAAACAAAAAAATACCAATATATAGATATAGATATACTACATATATGTCCGAACCAAAACTGCAAACATGAATTCGACGAAGAAGCAGAGAGAGACAAGTAGTACCTGGAAGTTGAGGAAAGCAGGAAGAAACCAAGGTGAATCAGAAACGCAGAGAATTACCGTCGTTTTGGCTCAAAGCTCGCCGAGGATATTAACAAGAAGATATGTTGATAAGCCCTGCAACTTTCAAGACGAGTTTGGTTGCCTGGAAATGGAGTGAGGAAAAGAGAGCGTATATATACATCTTCAATTATTTGAAGAAGGGGTTGGTCGAGATTTTCCGGATGAGACAAAAGAGATAGTGATGGGTCGGGTGAAAATTCAATTTGATATCGGTACTAGCCGCATATGATATTAATTCTTGAAAAGAAAAAGAAGGAAAAGACATTTTCCCAATTGCCACAGCGCTTGGCAGTAGAAACTATAAACATGATTATATTTTCTAAAATATAAATACATACGCCAAATAGGCGCTTTCACATGGCTGAAACCGGCATGACCTCGTATAAAAGCTTCTTGAACAAGGGCACATGGTTTATCTCCAAGCAAATGGCAAGCAACAAGCTACCGTCACTGGCTGGACTTGCCGATATATACCCTTTCCCTTCACTATAAATACTTGCTGGCCCTGCATACACAGCTTTTCCCCATCCAAAATCAAAATCATGGAAAGGCAAACGACTCCAGCTGACAATGCTGAGATTCGGACATCGATAAATTTCATTCCCTTTCCTAGGAACAAGACATTCTATATCAGGATGCTTTTCTAAATAATCAATGGCTGACCTCAAATAACCATCGTTCATCTTCTTCGTCGCTCTATGAATTCTCTCTGCAGTGTCTTCCAATGGCTCTCTGCGGAGATCACCTGCCAGAGCAATAGGTCTGACGGGAAAAATGGCGCTACCAAAATAGTTTTGTGGGAGTGGAGGAACTAATTTGAACCGTCCATTTAGCGTCACGTGTAGCCTCGTGGCTTGATCATCGGCGAGGCAACGTGCTCTGCTCACACAACGCCAAATGTGAGCTACCAGGACCTCATGAGTGGTGTAATTAGCTGTTGTTTTGGTGCCATTGACGCTGGCTTTTAACACCTTAAGCTGGTCAAGAGTAAGTTTGAGAATGACAAGTTTGGGACATGATTGGAATTCTTGTGTTTGATTAGGGCTATTCATGGTGGGAGGTGGGTCGAATTCGGGATGGTGAAATGTAATCGACGGTGGGAACCGAGCACGGAGTAAGGTCCGATCAAAGAACGGCGTGATGTTGGTGGGAAGACCACGAGCCAGCTGAGCCCATGACCTGGTGAAATTTATCAAAGCATGGCCGTCCGACAACAATAGATGCCATCCAATGCTCAGACAAACTCCTCCGCACTTGAAGAATGTTACCTGTATATGTATATTCTTTAATCTTAAATTTGTAAATTACATTATTTAAAACCCTAAATAAGTATGAATTCCATAAACAAACTAATAATATTGTACAGAAAAAAATACAGAAACTGAAAGATAGTTAGGCTGAAGTGCAAGAGTTCAAAACGGACGTACCGTATCTTAATTTTAGTTTTCATTAACATTATTATTTTCTTAATTAATTAACAGAATTGAATAAAGTATAGCACCGATCTCTTGGCATGAAAAATTTTACCTGTACCAAAAGAAGAGGATAAGAAGAGATGTCAGTTGAGTAATCAACTGTTGGAACACAGTGACGGAATTCTGGATTCCGAGTAACTCCGGCAAAGCCCCCCATAACAGAATCGGTTTCAGCCACAACGAACAGCACTCCGTCTGCGTTGCAGTAGATCTCAGGCCTCCCATTGTGATCTCTCCGGAGCCTGCCAGCAACAGGATAGAACGGCACAAGAGTTCTGCTTAAAGTCTCCTTAAGCAGCTCTGTGTCGAAGAAATTAGAAGAGCCATCGAGCTCATAACAGTGAATCAGACCTACGTGCAACCTCGCTTGCAGCAAATCGAGGTTAGAAATCCATATGCTGTGTTTTGGTGTGTCTTGTGCCGGTCGTACAATACACGATTCTTTCACACTCACCTTCATCTTCCCTGAAACATCAGATTTTATATTCACCTTTCTCTATCAGCAATATATATATACACTCACACACACACACACATCCACAACGTAAACTCCAAAATATATTTCTCTATCCGGAATCATAAGCATAGCAAATCGACAACATAAACTCTAAAATATATCAAGCTACTCTCCATTTCAAAAAAGAAATTACGGAGAACGGAAATATTAACATGTGAGTTGAGTAACATACCTTACAACAAACAAGAAAGAGAAATCTCTACAACAATAAATATCTCACCAGTTCGATCTGAGATTTCCGAGAAAGAAAAAAACGTCAAGGAGGAGAAAATGTTAGGCGAGGTGAGAAACTGGAAGAGTTCCTTTTTATAGCTTCCAGAGACGTGCAAAAAAACTCCGTTATATTTATAAAAAATTATTTTATTTTGTAAATTATTATACATTTATTTTTAAATGATTTATTAAAATATAATTAAAATAAAAAAATTATATATCGAATAGTGTAAAGTTTCAATTTAAAACAAAAAAAAAACCGGAAAAAATTAAATTATTTATAGTTAAATAACGTGTAAATTTTAATGAATTTAAAGAAAAACTTATTTTTTTTACAATATTATAAAAAAATCATCATAGAATTTAAAATATTGTTTTATTATATTATAGAAAAAATTAGAATTTTATAAAGCTTATAATAAATTTTATAATTAAATTAAATGAAAATCTTCAAAGATAGGGTTGTGCGATCCTTTTTGGACACGCAGACTGCAAATTTTGACAAAAGGAGGATATTGTACTTTCCGTGTCAGAAGAAAAGATAACGTGACTGGTGGTCACCATCAATAGATCACAACCCTTGTCCTAAGTGCGCCCAAGGCAGTATATTTTATAGGCACCGTACAATAAATTGATTCTTTACCTGATAAATGTAATTACAAAAGATATAATTTCGTAATTACCACGTAACTTAAATATAATTAAAAAGTAATAATTATTTGGTATTATTAAAACGCTCATCTAATTAGTTTATTAATTAATTGTCTAAAAAATTATATATCAAATAATTACATATTATTTTAATATCAAATTATTATTATTATTATATCAAATTGTAATTACCGTAATTATTATAATAATAATAAATTAAATTAAATCATAATATTTATGATTCTGGTATAGATTTATTTAGTATTATATTTATTTATTTTTTATCTTAAAAGTTCGTACACGAATAAAAATAATATTTTCATATAAAATAACAAAAAATAAATAAAAATATATACTAAATTTAAAAGATGTAATTTCAGTTACTTAAAGTAAAGGCTTTTTTAACCATACTTTGTCTTTGTTCTAAATAATAATACTTGAGATGTGAACTTTTTAATGAGAAAAGAGTAAATCCCATTCTTTCACTGCATTGTTCATTACAATTACCCAAGAAAAAAAGGGTTATCTCTCTCTGCATATATATATACACACACACACACTGTAAAAGTGTTGGCACGAGTACCACAAAACAGAAAACAGTGGAAAACTATAAACACGATATATTTTTTAAAATATAAATACGTACGCCAAATAAGTGCTTTCACATAGCTGAAACCGGCATGAACTCGTGGAAAAGCTGATTGAACAAGGCCATGTGGTTAGTCTCCAAGCAAATGGCAAGCAATAAGCCACCGTCATCGGCTGGACTTGCCAATATATACCCTTTTCCATCACTGTAGATACTTGCTGGCCCTGCATACACAGCTTTTCCCCATCCAAAGTCAATATCATGGAAAGGCAAACGACTCCAGCTGACAATGCTGAGATTCGGACATTTATAAATTTCATTCCCTTTCCTAGGAACAAGAGATCCTATATCAGGATGTTTTTCTAAACAATCAATGGCTGACCTCAAATAACCATCGTCTATCTTCTTCGTCGCTCTACGAATTCTCGCTGCAGTGTATTCCAATGGCTCTCTGCAGAGATCACCTGCTAGAGCGGTAGTTCTGACGGGAAAAATGGCACTACCAAAATAACTTTGTGGGAGTGGAGGAACCAATTTGAACCGTCCGTTTAGCGTCACGTGTAGCCTCGTGGCCTGATCATCGGCGAGGCCACGTGCTCTGCTCACACAACGCCAAATGTGGGCTACCAGGATCTCATGAGTGGTGTAACTTGCTGTTGGTTTGGTGCCATTGACGCCGGCTTTTAACACCTTAAGCTGGTCAAGAGTAAGTTTGAGAATCACAGATTTGGGACATGATTGGAATTCTTGTGTTTGGTTAGGGGTATTCATGGTAGGAGGTGGGTCGAATTCGGGATGGTGAAATGTAATCGACGGTGGGAACCGAGCACGGAGTAAGGTCCGATCAAAGAACGGTGTGATGTTGATGGGAAGGCCACGAGTCAGCTGGGCCCATGACATGATGAAATTTATCAAAGTATGGCCGTCCGATAACAATAGATGCCATCCAACGGTCAGACAAACTCCTCCGCACTTGAAGAATGTTACCTGTATATGTATATTATTAAAATGACATTTTACATTTTACACCACTAAGAAAATTTGGGCACCTCTGACCGTCGTGATTTTTTAATTAATTTATGTCAATGTCTTTTAATATAAGATTCCCCACTCCCACGTCCTTATTAAAAAATGAAGAAGAAGAAAGAGCTGTCCGCCATTTTTTCTCAGGTCAAAAAAAGAAGTACAGCACTGATCGGAGAGAAAATCTTGGAATGAAAAATTTTACCTGTACCAGAAGAAGAGGATAAGAAGAGATGTCAGTTGAGTAATCAACCGTGGGAACAAAGTGACCGAGTTCTGGATTCTGAGTTAATCCAGCAAAACCGCCCATAGCGGAATCGGCTTCAGCCACAACGAACAACACTCCCTCTGCGTTGCAGTAGATCTCAAACCTCCCATTGGGATCTCTCCGAAGCCTGCCAGCAACAGGATAGAACGGCACGAGGATTTTGCTTAAAGTCTCCTTAAGCAGCCGAGTGTCGAAGAAGTTAGAAGAGCCGTCGGGCTCGTAACGGTAAATCAGACCTGTGTGCAGCTTCATTTTCAGCAAATCGAGGTTAGAAATCCATATGCCGTGTTTTGGTGTGTCTTGTGCCGGTCGTATAATACACGATTCTTTCACACTCACCTTCATCTTCCCTGAGACATCAGATCTACATTTCACATATATGTATATACATATATAGACATATATGTCAAAAACATAAATTCCAAAACATATTTCTCTATCCAGAATCATAAGCACAGCAAATTGACACCATAAACTCCAAAACATAGCAAGCAACTCTTCATTTCAAAAAAGAAATTACGGAGAAAGAAGAAACTAACATGTGGATATGCATAGAATACCTTATAACAAACAAGAAAGAGAAATCTCAACAAGAATAAATATCTCACCAATTCGATCTGAGATTTCCGAGAAAGAAAAAAAAAATCGTGGCGGAGGAGAAGATGTTAGGAGAAGAAAATGTATAAGAAGACGGAAGGAGACGAGCGTGGGAGTAAGAAACTGGAAGAGTTCCATTTTTTATCCAAGAGTTTTGATCATACAGACAGCGCTCGGGAATAAAATAACATAATAAAATATAATTTAGTAAATTAATATAAGATTAAATAAACTATAATAATGTGTTTGGTATATAAAGCATTCAGAGTTACAAAATTAATAATGTTTTGGGTACATTATAATATATGCTAATCCTACCATATTATAAAATTTACATATTTATTTTAAACTTGAACAACCGCCAAGTCTTCACATAGCTGATTCTAGTAACAACTCCCTGTAAAATAACTTCTCAAATAAACAAGCATGATTAGTCATTAAGCACATAACTAAGAATAAGCTTTGGTCATTAATTGGATTTGCTGTTATAAATCCTTTTCCTTCGCTGTAAATATTTGTGGGCCCTATATATGTAGGTGGGCCCCACCCAAAATCCGCATCCGAAACAGGAAACTTATTCCAACTGACGATACTGAGATTCGGGCACCGGTATAATTCATTCCCTTGTTTGGGTACGAGAGTATTTATATCCTGATGTTGATCTAAGTAATGCAGCGCTGATCTCAGGTAACTATCATTCATCTTCTTCACCGCCTCACGAATTCTCTCTACGGTGCGTTTTAATGATTCCGCTTGGAGCTCACCCGACAAAGCTGTTAGTCTGACGGGAAATATAGCGCAGCCGAAATAATCATGCGGAAGTGAAGGAAATAATCTGAACCGTCCATTTAGTGTCACGTGTAATCTCGTTGCTTGATCATCAGATAGACCGCGTGCTTTACACGCGCAACGCCATATGAGCGCTACCAAGATCTCATGGGTGGTGTAATGTTTGATACTGCTGACTCTGGTTTTCAAGATGTTAAGCTGGTCGTGAGTTATTTTGAGGGTGAGGATGGTGTTGGGACTTGATTGGAATTTGCGGATTGGAACGAGGGTATTTATGGTAGGATGTGGGTCAAATTCTGTGTGGTGAAATGTAGGATAAGATGGGAATCTTACGCGGAGGACCGTCCGATCAATGAAAGGCGTGATGCTTGGTGGGAGACCTCGCGATATCTTGACCCATGATTGGATGAAGCGCATGAAGCCTGTGCCGTCTGATAAGTAGAGATGCCATCCAAGTCCTATACAGATGGCCCCACACTTGAATTTTGTTACCTGGGAAAACAGAATAAATAATTATTTTAGTTCAAAATTTAATTAAAAAAAATATAATTAAATATTTTTAAAAATAAAATTTTAGTTACCTGTACAAGTAGAAGAGGATAAGAAGAAATATCAGTTGAGTAATCAACTTTTGGAACGAAGAGGCCGAGTTCAGAATTCTGAACGAACTCACCGAGTCGGCCTATTTCTACATCAGCATCAGCCTCGACAAACAAGACTCCCTCGCCATTGCAACGGATCTCGAGCCTTCCATTTGGGTCTCGCCCGAGTCGGCCGGCAACTGGGTAGAAAGGCACCAGGACTCGGCTTAAAGACTGCTTCAGCACCCGAGTGTCGAAGAAATTGGTCGCGCCGTTGGGCTCGTAGAAGTGCACCACGCCCAGATGAAGCCTCGCGTTTATCAAGTCCAGGTTCGAGAGCCACAGGGGCTGTTTGGGCGTCTCGTGTGCTGGTCGAATAATACACGACTCTTTCACACTAATCTTCATCTGATTAATTATTATTGCCTGTAATAAGCGCAATTTAGTTCTTAATTAATTTTTTTTAATTAATTAAGCTTCTAGTAACTACAAAGATTTTATAAATCACGTGTTTCGAATTTAGTTCTTATATACATATATATATAGATTAAAGTTGAAGAAGAAGGTGTGCATATCATACCAGCAGCTTCTAAAATCTCAACTCACAGAGAAATGAGAGAGATGGTGCAGGAGGTGGGTTTCCATTCAGCCAAATTTATAAGTGAAAATAGAAAGTGACATTTAATGCATGAAATATGACTACATTATTTTTATGGGTAACACTTTCTGGTGAAGACAAAAAGTTGGTTTACACATTTCCTGATATATACATACACACACACACACAGAAAACGTAATATAAACTTAGCCTACAAATAAATACTTATTCATCAATAATTAAACTATTGAAACTGATATCTGATGTAAATATTTACTAATAAATATTGTGAAAAATATATTAAAATAATATACTTATTAGTTTATTACATGTTGTTTTTAATTTTGATTATTTTACAAAAAATAAAGTATATATATTGTTTATATATAAAAATACAATGGTTTTTTAAAAAAATATTAATTAAAATTTTTAATCTGTTTTAAGTATTTTAATTTTAAAAAAATTAATTATTATATAATTTTTTATTTAAATATATAATAAATTCGTTGAAATTTAATAATTATTTTTTAAAACGGACCAAATTAGTTTGGTGCAACACCTAAGTCGAAGAGTATGGTTATTTAATTGTTTCCTCTAATGAACAAATGGTTTATTTAAATGTCAATATCATATAGAAAGTGCAATATATATATATATATGAATAATTTGCATATTGTAATCATTCTCTTATCTTGGTCTTTATATTTTTTTATAAATAAATAAATAAATATTACTATTTTTAAAAAAATTTTAAATGTGCATATTTTTATTAAAAAAA